GGTAAGGCGTTTTTACAAAAATGTTTATAGAACAAAAAAAAAAAACAAGTGTTTTTGTGTGGTTTTGATATTTTTATGAAAAAACAATCTAAAACTAGTATTTCCAAAAGAAAAAAAACAAATGCTAAATTATTGATGAAGGGATTAGGTAATAAGCCAATTGAAAAAAATAGGTAAGTTTTTGAAACCATTGAATGATTAGCTTTGTTAAATTGCATGGATGAAATTATAATTAGTAATATTTTATTATTTATTTTTTGAATTTCACTATAAAGATATAAAGAAAATTATATAAAAATATTTTTCTCAATTTTAGATCATGAAATTTATATTTTCTTTTTTCAGTGTCTCTCTTTTTTTAAAATAAATTCTAAAAAATAACTAATAAAAACATTGTTTGGAAGTATACTTCTGCTTTTAAATGCTTTTAAAAAATATTTATCATAAAAATTATTAAATAAATATTTATCTTTTAATTTTTTATAATTTAATAACTTCTGCTTTTAAATGCTTTTAAAAAATATTTATCATAAAAATTATTAAATAAATATTTATCTTTTAATTTTTTTATGATTTTAATAAATTTGTTATAACCTAATTTTTAAATTCTAAAAAACATAAAAATAAATAACCAATAAATATTTGAGAATTAGTTTAAGAGAATACAAATTAAAAATTTGAGAATTAATAAAAATTAAATTATAAATTTGAGAGTAAATTCGATAAAAAAAAATTAAAAAATTTAAAGATTTAATTAAATTTAAAATATAAATTAATGAAATTAGAAACCTGATTGTTAAATGTCAGAAGTTCAAGCGCCAATAGCCACCTCCAGGGATACAAACGGCGTCATTTGAACTACATTTCATCACCTTCTTCATTTCCAAACCAGGGGCCAATTCAAAACCATTTGGGACCCCGTCTCCTCAACTGCATTATCTTCCAGAGGTCAAGTTGAACAGTCCAACAATTGCAGGACTTTTATTTCCCCTGTTTCTTCTCAAAGAAACAGAGGCGTTCGTGCCACACAATGGCGAGGCACGAACACATGAATAGAGGTCATCATCTGGCTTTATAAGAGCCAGATAAGGCCACAGAGAATGAGGGGGACAGATAAGAGAGAGCAAATAAAGAAAAAGAAGGGACTTAGAACCCGGGGAAGAACTAGAGCAACTAAAATAGAGAACCAAAGTGAAAAAAACCAATAAAGAGAGAAGGAGACAGAAAGTAAAAATAAAGAGGAAAGACAAAAACAAAACAAGAAAGCAGAGAACTAAGAACGAGCAAAAAAAAAAAGTAAGAAAACTAGAGAGAACAGAACACAAAGCGGAACCCAGGGGAGAACACAAAAAAAACCCAGAGAAAGGATAACACAAAGAGGACATAACGAAGGAAACAAAGACAGAATTAAAGACCAGAAAACACAAACATATGAAGAATAAAATAAAGCAAAAAAATTAAAAAAAGACCAGAAATTAGAAAAGAAGGGAAGGAAAAACAGAAGCAGAGGGGAACATTGGTCAACCAACTCCCCCTCACCGTCATCTTCGTCTTCAGGCAGCAGCTCCAGGTATGTTCTTCTTCCGTTTCTCTACTTTGCAAATTCAATAGTTACACAGATAAAATAATTACTCTGTCATTGTACAAAGCATGTACGAGTAATTCATAATTCATGAATGCATGCACAGTGATCAACGCACAGTGACCAACCGGTCACCGGGTTACTGGTTTGGACCAGTGATTAAACAGGTCACTAAATATAGCACAATTTATACAGATTAAGTTAGATTTAACCCAAAAAAATAACAAATTTAGGTTGGGTCTTAGACCTAACAAGCTCAATCCCATTTATTTTATTCCTTTTTGTTTTGATATTTAGCTTAAAGGTCCATTTTTTTATATCAAAATATTTCAAAAATATTTTGGACCCTTTTAAATTTATTTGTAAATTCCTCTAATGTTTTTAAATATTTCATTGTGTAATTAATTAATAATTTTTTAAAAAAAAAAATGTACAATATTTTAAAAAAAATAAAAAAATATGCATACATAAATTTAAATTTATTTTATCAGTTTATTTACTGTATCAAAATTAAAAATACCATTCGTTTTTATTTTATTTTTTGCTATGTAATATTTATCAGCACCAGAGTTGGAAGCATCCTTAGTTGAATAATCACTTATATCAAAGTCAAAAATATTATAAACAAACCATCATAACATAAACTAGCATTAACAATTTAAAACAAAATCTATAATTCAGTCTGCCTCATGCAAGACATTTAAAAAATAATAATATTTTTTCTTTTATATAATCAGTCTCATACTATAAAATTTTTATAGATTAGTTAGAATTTCTAGTGACTATAATATTATATAACGACTCCTTAAACAGCACCTTTTATTCCCATCAAAGAACAAAATATCAGAATTTGTTTTTTTCATTGAATTATTTTTTAAAAGCGTCGCGATATCATATCAGGTGCAATAAAGCTAATGTCAAAAATATAAAAAAACATTATTTAAAAAATTATTTTAATTTATTTTTAAACAAAAAACATACCATACATCGCAATATCAAACAATCATAAAATGTCAATAGTTAATCTCTGAGCAGCATGAAATTTATAAAATAATTTCCTTGTTTTTTGGTGGAAATCCATCACACCGAAATTCAGTCCAATTTTTTTCCAGGATATCCTCATTTTAATCCTTAAATTTATAAAATATCAAGATTTTCTTTAGATTCGAATTGAACATGAAATATGGAGAACCGACTTACTACACGCATGAACCAAAATCTCACAAACAAACCTTTTCTCCTAAGAATTTATGTTGAGGAATAGTCTAATTCTAACAAATGGCACAACATGAATAAGGATACTAACAATTTGCCACGTTGTATTCAGCTAGATCATAAACTTGAACGGATAACCATAAAGAAGCGAACTCTATCCTTGATCATTCAAACTAATCCTTGAAATTTGCGATCAAAGAAAGCTAATCCATCAAACTTTACTCCATGAATTCATTCATATATTTATTCACCAATGCATGTGTGCGTCTTGCCTGCATACATTTCATCTTTCTTTATAGAGATGATACGTTTTCTTTTCTTTTTATCGGTTCATTAGAAAGTTCAATATGTCTTGAAGTAGGTAACAAGAGCCAACCCTTCTATTATGAAATCAGCTAACTGACCGACCCCAACGGACTTTATGATATAGCCCAATGAGCATTCTAGTGAACAGCCACAAAAAGAATTCCTAGTATGACCTGGTTCTTCAGACTAGATCCGTGATTCCCTAATCATCTAATGCTGAACTCAGAGAGCTGGCATCACATCGAACTTCTGCAGCATAATACGTTCATATTTGAAAAACTTATCTTCTGGTTCATATAACCAATGATCTAAATTTATGTGAGAATGATGGATGAGTGTGAAAAATGCACCATAACAAAGCCAAGAAAAACAGGTGTGACAGAAACTGTGGAAGAGGAAGAGGAAGAGGAAGAGGAAGAGAGAGAGAGAGAGAGAGAGAGATGCAACAAGAATTGGTAGCTTCTATGACCAGTCAACCACAAGATTATTTAAGATCATTCTATGCAAATCAAATACTGGAGAAAATTGAATTCCTCGAGATTTATGTACCTAAAAGCTAAAATAGCCATTTAACTAACTTCTTTTGTCACCGAATCCAAACACAAAAACAGGAATCATGATAAGCAAAGAACCTAGCATATTTCAGAATCAACAAAATCCAGAAATGTAAAATCAGATAAATCAGGAAAAGTTTCAACAAAAAAACATGACTGCAATGCCTTTCTTCTGAGATCTTACCCTCTAGTCCTAGCTTGAATCCTTTTGTTTGCCTTCATCGTCAACAGCATCAGTCACCAAAGTCATGGGTCTTTGATCAATCACATCATCAATAATTCCAAATTCCTTTGCCTCTTCTGGGGTCATAAAATAATCTCTATCCATATTCTTCTGAATTACATCAAGTGGCTGCCCTGTATGCTTGCAGTACAATTGATTCAGAGCATCCCAGACCCGAACTATCTGCTTTGTGTGAATCGTCATGTCCTTTGCCTGTCCACTGTACCCACCTGATGGCTGATGAATCATGATTGTTGCATTTGGTAGTGCCTTCCTCTCGCCCTTAGCCCCAGCAGCCAAGAGGAGGGAAGCCATAGATGCAGCCTGACCCAAACAAATGGTAGTAACTGGAGACCTTATGTACTGCATTGTATCATAAATGGCAAGGCCTGCATAAAACAACACAACAATTGACATTACAACCTCAACCATGCCTTAAAAGATTAACTGACTTGAAACTTAAAATATTAAACAAGATACATAATCCAGGCAAAATTAAATCGACAAAAGCATAACACTAGATTCCACTACAGGTAATCCAATACCACATATAACAGCATAGACCTGCTGTAAGAAAACAGTTATAGTCTATTGTAAAGTTGGATGGCATTCAGTATTTCTTCATTGCCATGTCTAGATAGAATTGTCAACCGGTTGTAAATAAATTGAACGAGTTCAATTAGTTATCAATGTTTGATCTTCCACTCTTCAACACAATCTTCGTCCTTTTGCTTTTTATGCTGTTAATGATATGCATCATAGTCAAGACTACTTTCATCTTCAAAATCGAAAGGTGCCAGAGACAAGAAAACTTGAGAAAAATAACTAGTCATCGGCATGGGCTGCGCGTCTTAGAGTGAGAGGCATTCGCATATTATTGCATTACAAACATTAACAGAGCATTCTAAGGAATTCAACAGTTCTTTCTCACAAGGGAGGGATTTAAGGAGAAATGAAAACACATGTACTGATAATATTCATTTACTTCAGGATTTGCAAACAGTAAAATTTTGTCCCTTTCAACTGCTCTTGCAGTGACCTCACCATAACCATGTACTTGCACATAAATCTATAGACAGGATGCAAATAATTTCAATATCTTCTGTACAACCATAACCATAAGGACCTTGAGACAAATAAGTAATAAGTTGAATAATGATACAAAACTAATTGGCTTCAATAAGAAAGGCTGTGCCGACATCATATAGTGTTGAATCATTCAGTTGAGCACATCCAACAGCACATAAAGAATCTTTCTCCAGTGGATAATACAACTTTCAATGGTACTTCAAATATTAACAATTACCCGGAAACAAGCTCTTGACTATCACAATTCTTTTCTTTATGGACACTGTAAAGCAAACAAATAAAGTGTTCACCCAAAAAATGACCTGCTATACAGTCCACTTATAATATCTGACTACTGTTTATCGTCACCCCATTCATCCAAGAAATCAGGAATGATTACATTCATTTAGCAACGCCCACTAAATTGAACCCAAAAAATGAGTCAGCCATTTCACTAACCCTATTAACCACTCAACAAAGAGCCTAAAAGCCCAATTACACTTTTTTGAAGATCAATTCAATCTATCAAACATATATCATTGAAGCTAAACTGGTCCATCAAAAATTTACATAGCATTTTACCAAATGCATCCATTTTCTTCCACAGGACCATAGAAAGAACTATTAGCCACCAACAAACTAAAGCACACATAAATGGCCTCCATGATTCACAAAATGCCCCCAATCCCAAGCTCATCTAACTAAACACCTCAATTACTTCCATTTCTGCACAACCTCCATCTCAATGATCAAGGCATAATCACAAACTCCTCGCTTATTAACAAAATCAGGCATCTACAGATCAAAATTTCCGAATTAATCCACAATAATCCAATTATCAGACTTTTGTAACAGAATCAAAATCCTACGAAATCCATGTTAAAATGCATCACAATATTACTCAAAACGAATCTATCACACTAAAATGTAAAAAAATCCAATACAGACAAACACTCTAAACAAAGACCAAATCAAAATCCATTCCAATCAATTCACAGCAATTCAAAAAAAGAAATCAAAAAAATTTGCAACTAAACACCAAGATTACCCCCACCCCACCCCCACAAACCAAAAAACACGCACTAAACCCAAATCAAAAACCAAAACAAAACCCATCTCGAAAAATCAAAACTGTATCACGTTTAAATATCAAGTCACCTGCAGTGACTTGTCCACCAGGAGAATTCAGATACATATGAATAGGCTTAGAAGGATTCTCAGACTCAAGAAACAAAAGCTGAGCAACAACAACATGAGAAGTATCATCATCGATTGGACCATTAATACAAACAATTCTCTCTTTTAAAAGCCTAGAAAAGATATCGTAAGCTCTTTCTCCTCTTGATGAGTGTTCGATGACCATTGGGATTAGACTGTAAGCTCTAGTGGTTGAGATTTTTGGGGTCAAAAGAAAAGAGGGTTTTGGTTTAGTTGTTGAAGCGATGAGCTTGGCGGAGGAGAAGAGGGCTTTCATGGCTGTTGATTTGAGTTTGGGATTGGATTTGGAGAAATTGAGAGAGGGATAACGGGGTTTTAGGGTTTGAGAGGAATTGGGGATTTTGTTGGGGTTTAGGGGATGTGGTTCTGTGATTTTGAAGGAGAGGGCCATAGGATGTATTTGGTTTTGTAAGAAATGATTGTCCAGTATTGGGTTTACCAGATTTTAGGAGAGAGTGTTATTTATTTATAAAAGTTTATTTTATTTTATAATCTATTTACTATATTCGTGCTTTTATTTTTGTTGGTAAATCACGTTTATTTTATTTTATAATCTATTTACTATGTTCAGGGTGATTTTATTTCTTGAAAATTTGTTGTTAGCAAATTATTTTTTAAATTTTTTAATATTTATTTGTTATTATAAAAATTGATTAATAAAAAATATTTTTTAGTTAAAAAAGAATTTAGTTTGGTTTTCGGGAAAGTATTTTCCCTTTATTTTGAACGGAAAATATTTTATGAAAGTTGTGAAAAATTTAAAAATATTATATTATTTGATAATTATATCAAATTTGATCCTCAAACTTTTAATTGTTATATATATTTTGTTTTAAATATTTATTTTTTAATTTGATCCATTAGAATTTAATTTTTATATTAACTTTGATTCTCATTTCTATAATTATTATTTGTTTTTCCCTTATTATTTTTTAAGTAAAATTTTTTATCTATCAAATTTGGTTCTCATTCTTTTAATTGTTACTTATTTTATTTGAAATAATTTATGAAATACTTATCATTATTATTTTAATTTCTCATCTTTTAATTTTTTTTATTTTTTAGATTTCATTTCTATTATTTTGATTATTATTTATTTTATTTGAGATAATTTATAAAATTGTATTTTTTTTCAATTTCATTCTTATTCAAATTTTTAATTTACAAGATTTATTCTTTGTTATTTTAATAAACTTTAAAAAATAAAATATTAATAAGTTATTTTTTAACTCATTTTCCATAACACAACCAGATACTAATAAGTATATTTCAACTTATTTTTCATTACACTACCAAACATAGAAAAATAATTTATTTTTCCAGAATTTATTTTTTTGAAATTCACTTCCAAAAAAAACTATTTTTAAGCAAAGAAAGGGGCCTTAAATTTTTGTTTTTTTAACATCATTAAAAAATATATTTTTAAATAGTAGAAAAATAGAGAGTTCTAACAAGATTTATAGTAAAAGCAATTTGAAGGCCTTTTTAGGATTGTAATAATGGAGATGATTTAAAGTATTTTTTACTTAAAAATATATCAAAATAAAAATTATTTATTTAAAAAAATTATTTTTAATATTAGCATACCAAAACGATTTGAAAATATAAAAAAATATTTTAAGCAAATAAAAATTCAAAATTTTTGAAAATACGGTGCGGTTCCCAAACACCCCCGAAGTGCACTTTGACACAAACCAAATATTTTTTTAATAAAAAATATGAATTCGCTGATTTTTCCAAATTTTTTTATATAAAAATTTTAAATGTAGAGCAAAAAAAACTTATATATTTATATCTAATTAAATAAATAAAAAATTATCTATATTAATAAATAAATTATTAATGATAACTCAAGATATAACTAGAAAACTCAAAATATAAAATTTGATTCAAAAAAGAAGAAGAAGATACAACTAGAAAACTCAAGATACAAATACAGATCAAGCATTGAGCGCATCTGTCAAAAAAAGAAACGATGAAGAGAAGAAGAAGATCACGAATCTTTGCTCTTGTCATGTAATCTCAAACAAATATAAAGTAATTAAAATTCAGATAGAAGTTAAATAAAAACCTAAAAAGCAAAATCTAAATTAATTTATCTGCCCCTTAACAATGCTTTCTCTACAGTGTCCATCTCTTCGAGAATTCTGGCCTTTCTCTTGGAGGGGATGGGAGTTGTCGGCCCAAAGCTGATGTAATGCCCCGTAACAGCATTTAAAGCCGAGTAAATATCACGAAAAGAAGCACGACCGACTAGAGATTTCTCCTTGAACGTGGGCTCTTGTGTTTTTTAAATTCTAATAAGACAAATAATTACTAAGGCAAATTGGAAAAGATTATGGCATTCAAAATCAAAACAACACAATGTTTAAGGACTGAATGTAACAAATTAAATTAAAAAATAATTTTAAAAAAATCTAAATCAACTTAAGCTAACTCATCATACTCGCGGTTTAAGTGATGGCATCGAGATAAATAAATAAAAAAAAATTAAAAAAAATCATGAAATCAAATATCAAGAAACTCCACCTTGAGGATTGAAATTAAAAAGAAAAATTAATTCTTAGCCAATTATTTAATGTTAAAAGATAAAATAAAAAATATCAATTTAAAAAATTTATCAAAGTAAATTTAACAAAGAACCACAAATAAAAAGAACTAGGGTAACTCGAAATATTTTCAAAATCAGTGACAAATTCTGCATAAAGCAAATAAATAAAAATAAATAAAGTTCAATTTTCAATTAAATAAATGTTAAAGTTTGAAACTGAGAAAAAAAAACTTATCTTAAAAAAACAAAAAAGAAAAAAAACCAAACTCTTACCAACATCTTAAAATTTTATTAATCTCTTAAACTCATAACTTGTGAAATTTTAGACCTTCAATTAATTAAGAAATACAATTTCCAACTAAATTATCGTTAAAGGATGAAATCAAAGAAAAAGACAATTTAAAGAAATTATCAAAGTGAATAAAATAGAAATAAAAAAGAAAGAAGATCAAATTTAATAGAAAAAAACTTAAAAAGAATGAAATTGGAAAAAAAAATTTAAAACTTATATAAAATAAAATAAATAGCAATAAAAAAAATAAAGATCAAATTTAAAATATGAAAATATTAAAAAGGATGAAATTAAAAAAATTATAATTTTATAAATTATTTCAAATAAAAAAATAGTAATAAAAAAAGGGAGCAAATATAATGGAATAAAAAATCAAAGGAATGTTTTGAAACTTTGAAAAGAAATGTGGGAAAATTAAGAAAAAAAGAGAAGAAAAAAAAGTATTGGTGCCAAGCTGGTTGTTAGCCACACACACCAAGACAATTTCAACGTTGTTGTGAATGATGGTGTTTGGTAATCAGACAATTTCATACATGCCACCTCAAGGGTGCAAAGGCCAACACACTGAAATGTGCCATATTTGTTTTAATAATATTATATTTTTTAAATTACAAAATTACTCTTAAACCAATATAATAATAACAAAAGAATTCAAGCAAAAATACTAAAATACCCCTAGATTTAAGCTAAAGAGAAGTAAACCTTGGAGGGCATTTAAGCTAAAGAAAAGTCAACCTTGAAGGGCATTCAAGTCATTTTATTATTCCTAAGAAATTAAAAATACAAAAAATTCCCATCCACGTCAACTTTATTTTAAATTAATCCAATGGTAGAATAGTCCTTTTAAAAGTGAAAATACTTAATTAGCCATTTTAAATTTAACAATGATAAATAAACTTTTGTTAAATTATTAAATTACACCTAATAGTAAATTAGTTCTGCTTTAGAAGGGCAAAATGGGGTTTCTACTATGGATTCCTTCAGTCAAAACCCTAGGCCTTTTAGATTTTGTTAATATTAGAAATTTGACTCGTGCTTTGCCATAAGCAAGATAATTTTTTCAAAAAAAAAACATGCTTTTTCAACACATTATTTTATTGTAAATGCAAAAAAGTTAAATTATGAAATTGAAAATAAAAATATTTAATTTAAAATATAGAAAAAAAAAAGACATTAGTTAATCGGAGTTAATTTACTAAACTTTTAATTTGAGTCACGCACCCTATTAGATTTGAAAACTTCTTATTTTCAAAATTATTTTTTATTTAATTATATACTAAAAATATGCATGAGGCTTTTTTTATACTAAACAATAGTTTAAAAAAATAAAAATAAGGGTTGCGTTTGGGACTAATTATGTTGAATAGTTGACAAGACCAAAAGATTGATGTCTTCTCCCAAGTGTAGAAGTGTTGAAATAATAAATAATCGGGCAAGACCGGGTTCGAACCACGAGCAGGTTAATTGTATAAATTATAAATAACAATAAAACAAAACAACAAATCCATAATAATAACAATAATAATGCTAAATACTAATACTAATACTACTACTACTACTAATAATAATAATAAAGAAGATAATGAGAACTTTGAGATGGAAGATCAATATAAGAATTTGACAATGATAACAACAAATGCCAAGGTTAGAGGATCCACTAATGGTATGTCAAACATGTATAACATAAACTCTTATTACTCAATTATGAGCCACACACAAAAGAGGTTTCAATCACATTATAAATTGTTAACATGATTACATTAGTTATCTTATTCAAATAATGTTAATACTTGTAAATATTGTTAGGCATTCCTGATT